CCTCCCTGCCTTGTGTCTTTCACTCGGGGCTCTTTGATGATGTGCACATTGCTAATTGTGTCCGAGCAGATGCTGTCAGATGTTACGGCTGATGAAACGGCCACGGGGGCAATCTGTGGGGAGGACCTGATTTGGCAGAGGTCAAACGGGGTCACTTTCACAGCGGCATCCTGCTGCCTCCCGAGCTCACCAGGTCGGTCGGCTTCCTGTCAGGCTGGTTTATACAAAAGCGCAAATCTATGTGACCTTATGTGCCTACAGGCTCTGCGAAAAATGTTTTCACATTAAAAGCTCAAATTTCATGTGTTTGGCAGAGAATGTCTGTGAAAGAATATTAGTTTTACAAACATTTATAGAAATATTTTTTATTTTTGGCTCTAGTGGCTTTTATTTGAAAGTGCTTTGACAAGAAAGCAGGGTAATGAGAGAGAGATGGAAGACATGTGGAAAAGGTCACTAGACCGGGAATTGAACCTGCGACGGCCATGACCAAGGCCTCCCCATGCGGGCTGTACTCAACCCCTGCGCCACCACAGCTCCCCTGCTAATAGAAATTTGTATTCAGTGTCCTGTAAGGTGGCACCAGTTCAGTCAATTGCCTCCAGAACAAATTGGTCCATTTATGTGCATTTTAATCTTAGTATCAGTAAAAGTTTAGCTTTTCTGTGAAGGACCCAGAAGTTTGTTAGAAACCATTGATGAACAGCTTGATGAAGGCAGGAAAGACATTAAATATAGGTGTAGAGTACAGCTGTGGGTCTGCACTGGAAAGGCTGGGCAAGGAAAGCAACGACGAGAACATCAGCTAACTTTGGGGAAGCTGCAGACCGGACAAGCGGATAGTTGAGCACTACACAAACATTTTAATTATAGGGTAGCAAGAAGGAAGTCTTTGTTAAAAGAAAACCAAAATAACTTATTTTTTTTAGCAAAGGTGTAAAACACTGAGTGGTGGAAAACTAACACACCCTTATGATGACAGTCTGTCAGAAGTCAATCCTAAAGGAGGAGGCTGCAAAAGACCTCAGGTTCACTTTACAAAAGGACAGCAACCCCAAACATGGAGCCAAAGTTGCAATCAAACACTCTAGATTAAAAAAATAAAATTGCATGTGTTAAGAATGGTGGGGAGTAGAGCACAACCCACAAATGGAGGCTTTAGTCCTCGACACGGACATCGCAGGTTTGAGTCCCGGTAACCTTTGCTGCACATCTTTCTCTCATTACCCACTTTCCTGTCTGGCCACAAAACCTTCACAAGAAAAAAGAAAAAAAAAGCAGAATTGTCCAGTCAAAGAATAGTGGTAAACTCGTCTTCTCTCTTGAATCTAAAGAAGAGTTTGATCTAAATGAGTTTGATCCATTTTGTAAATTAGAGTGGGCAACAATTTCATTCCTTATATCTCCAAAGCTAGCAGAAACACATACAAACACTTTATGCCACACAAATATTTCCTAAAAACCCAAAAGCCATGTATGCTTTTACTTGCCACTTTACCGCTGCACACCACTTTTTGTTGGTGTGTACATAACATTCCAATGAAATACATATAGGTTTGTGTGTTTGTAATTTATGCAGTAAATAAAGGTCATGCTGCTGAGTCAGATGCAGGTTTCATACTCTGCATCCTCAATTAACTCCAGTTAAAGTCTAGTTAACCACCATGCTCTCCTCTTTTTTGCTCATTTACTTCTAGTCTTTTCTTTGCTGACATCTTTGGATCCAAGTTATTTGTTTTATAGAGATTTTATTAAAGCTTTACTTTTTCATGACGGTTCTAAAAGGCCTCAGGTAATGTCTGAGCCTATAAATCCAATGAACATTTCAGTCCTGCAGTCACACATACGTTACAGGCTCCATATCATGTGATGCATCACATCACATGACAGGCACCTTCATAGTATATGGCACTCACTGACATCGCCCAGGCTGCTGTGAAACTGCTGGGGAGGAAAGCGAGAAAACAGAAAGAGGTTGTTCTCTTCCTGCTGCAGACAAGAAGTAGAATTGCAGAAATATATTCAATGTTTTTTTTTTTTTGTACAAATATAGTGCAGAGTCACAACCCTCCAGAGTAAGACAAGCAAGAGTATCCCCTCTGCTGAATAAAGACCCTGGCATTGCTTAATTCACACCCAAGTTTACGCTGAGCCAAATCAGACAAATATTTTAACAACCCAGTAATCAAAACATGACTAACATATTAATATGCATTTAATATTTATCCTTTTCTTACTTTTTACCATCTCAATCTATCATTATCTGCAGTAAAATGTACTTGATCAACATCGTTTCAGTTCGGTTCATATAATACATCTGCTTCATATTTATTTTCCTCCTTTATATTCATTAAAATGTTTGGTATGCGGAGATGTGATAATTGCTTGTGTCACATATATGTGAGGTACGACAGAGCTAAATTGATCACATATCAGTTACTTGCCTGAGAGTGCAATAACTTAACCACCACCTGAAACAAACTATATTGCAAGAATTATTGCTTCATTTTCAGGTTTTCTGTTCACTTTATCATCTATAGGTGGAGCGATCTATCACCTTAACATGATAGATCGCTCTCAGGAGCTCAGCATTGAACTGTAAGCCCAGCCTTGAAATTTCATCTCTAATAAATATTAGTCAGTGGTGTTAGAATAAAAATAGAAAGGATTGTAAATGACATGTGGTCAGGCAGGGTGAAGGAAAAACACTGAGTGGGGCCAGAGGATTTTGAGGCTCTTTGTGCAAAGAGGCAACTTTTCAGGAGCTAGAGATCTTCTCACTTTATGTGGCATTCAATAGAGCTGATGACAGAGCATAGAGAGGTTCAAGACAGTGGGTTTAAGCGGCTGTGCAGCTACATTCAAGAGCTACATCACCAAGCTCAATGCAACATGCGGTGGTGGTGTAAAGCACGCTGCTGCTGCTGGGCTGTAGAGTGGTGGAGGCATGTTTTCTGGAGTGATGAATCATTCCTCTCTGTCTGGCAATTCAGTGGTTGGGTTTGGGTTAGACAGTTCCCTGGAGAACTGCCTGACTGTCTTGTTTTAAGAATAACATTTGATAGAGTAGCTCAGGCTCTGAAGTCCTTAGTTCCAGTGAAAGAAACTCTTCATCCTTCAGACTGCTGAGATTATTTTGGGGAACTTCAAGTTTCCAACTTTGTGGATATCATTTGAGGATGGTCTCATCTTGTTCAGACACAAATACCCATCAGTGCAAAAAGCAAGGGGCATAAAGGAACACTTTCAAGGCGAATTCGAGCAAAGTGCGAGGCAAACTTTTTCACCTAATTGTGTCTGACCTCAAAATTTCTCTTGTGGAAGAATGGTCAAAAATTTCCATTAACATTCCTAAACTTTGCTCTGCAGTGTGAGGGAAACCTGCCTAAGGTGTAATTGAGTCCATTTAATGCAATTTTTTTTTGAGTGTATAAAGCAATGGTTGGTTTTATAGTGCCAGATTTCTAACAAGCCAGTCGGACTTAATTTTGTGCTTCTTTCTAGGATCTGTTGTTGGCGTAGCATAAATGCTGTTTCTTTACCATCAAAAATCTATATTGGAAAACAACACAAGTGTTCAATAATAGAAATAAAGTGGAGAAACAGTGTGTGTAGGTGACAGAAACAGGAGACAGAGAGGCAAACACGCTGACAAAGAGGAGAAATTGAAATTAAATGGTAATTAATAGGTAGCCAGCACTTTCAATTCATCACATTCACCCTTCCTATTGATCACACTGAAATTTTCATTTAAAGTTTGAAATAAGCGGCAGACCGCCTCTGCAGAAAGCACTGAGCCATGGATCAATAGCCAGTGGATTAGAACTAAATAAGTGCAGTCACAGAAATTCAAATATTGGATTTCAGAGCATGGCGAGAGACTGCTGTGAATCAGATCTAGAAATGCCCCGGGGCGACCAGAACGTAAAGAGAGAACAGGGAAACGAAAGATGCAAACGGAGAGAGACAAAGGTAGAGGGATGCGGGTCTTTATCATCTCCCATCCCGCTCTGTTCTCTCTGCCTTTTCAAACGCTGTTATCTCCGCTTCTCTTTCACTGACCTTTTTACTCAGAAAATGGGTCGAGTCTGCGCTAATTTCACTCTTTGACCGGGGGCCCTGCGGCGACAGAGGCTCCACGTCGTCTCCTCTTGATGTCACCCACCTGCTGGCTTTCCACCTCTATGGTCACACACTACCCCACCGCCCATTTAAGGCTACAACCTGCTGCAAAGCATTGATCGATTCCCCCCAGCCGTTGGTTTGCGGCTGACTCTTTCAGGTACTCGAGAAGTGAGCAGGCTGCAGGAAGGAGAGGGATGAACAAGGACGCACAGGAGGTGGAGATACAGGATCGAAGAAACACGACTAAATGCCCCTCCGGGATAGCACCGCGCAGTTAGCTTGCGCACGTGGCTGAACATCTCGGAGCAGATTCTGGCCAGGGCCTCTGGGCCCTTTGGTGTCACCTTGTGTTTTGGTGGAGGGCCGGTGATTAATGGGCCAGGGTTTCTGCAAACGCTGGCTCGATTCCACCTGCTCTGCTGCTGCCGTTTCGTTCCTCTTTGTGCGTGCGCAGGCCAGCGCTCGTGTGAATAAGACGGCTGAACCATAATCAGAGAGCAAGCAGAAAGCAACAGTGAAACTGCTACATTCATTAAGAAGTTCACACTACAAAACACACCATCTGGTGCTGGCAGAGCGGGTGGACAAAGGAGGAAACATGAGAACACACAAGAAGGGATGGGAGCTGGTTATTGTTGAGAAGTTGATATTGGGAAGAACAAGCAAGAAAGGAATAGATCCAGCAGATGGAGTAAAACAGGAAGAGGATAAAGCGTCACCTGAGAGGTGAGAAATGCCATGAGGTCTCCAAGCAGCAGAAATTACTTCAGGATTTAGACTGGCAAAAAGAGACACTTGAGAAAAAGAGAATTGAGTGGGTCTTTTACAGCTATTACACGTGGCTGACAGCCTGCTGTGTATGTGTGGTAACTCACCAGGTGGACACGGTACATGATGCTGATTCCCAGGGTCATGAAAGGCTTGGAGAAGTCGATCACCTTCTCGCGCTCCGCTGTGATGGTGAGTCCAGCCACTGCCAGGTCAGCTTTCTGAAAGGAGAGTCAGATCACGTCATGAAAACAAAACCAGACACTCGTGTAATCCAGTTCCGAGGAATAACATCCTTTCTGCGACTAAACTGTTTGAAAAGACGACGAGGATGACTAAAGATGGTAGCCAAAACCCCCATAATACCCTTTTCTATCCTTTAGACCCTTTGTCCACCAACAGCACTATCTGTGCTGAGGATAATCCAACATTGGCCCTGTGCGTGCGTGTGTGTGAGTGTGTGTCAGTCGTGAGCGTGGAGGGCACCAGAGAGCTCAGGGTAACCATTGTGGCTGGCCAAGGGACCACTGTCAAGACAAATCACTTGACAAAGCAACGGCTGGCAAAAACACACTGTACGAAACAAACACACACATCTGCAAGCGCACACATACGTAGAAATGCTCAATGCAGCTGAATACTGGAAAGCTTTCTACTAATAATACAGGCCAGCAAAGTGCAACTGCAAAGGATTTTTCATCTCCCTGTAGAGCAAAGAGCGAAAGCAGTAAAGCATTGCTCTTTGTCTGCAGCAGGAGGACTAAGAGGATTGGGGAGATGGAGGAGAGCAGCAGGACAAGAGCAAGCAGAGGGGAGCACTGCACCAGGAACACTTTCTCTTTTTAACAGAATCTGACATTCACAGAATTGGATTTAGATTTGATGTAAGAGTGAATTGCAATAATCAAAGAAACCCTTGGAACAAGTTTAAAATGCCACATCGAGGAGCAAAGTCATGCCTTAGCTTAAAACTCTCCATTATTTCTGTTTTTCCGCCTCCTGGACTCTGAGCCGCTGAACACTGAGGCCCACAGCGTCTCCTGAAGCCCAATCCCTAGCCAGACGCTTTGACCCTCTGTCATCAGCTGGCCTATTTTTCCCTCTCTGCTGTTTGAAAGCACCGCTTCCAGCTCAGAAAGGAAAGACTCATGTAGGGAGCAGGTTTCCAGGCAAATTCAAGAAAGAAACGTCTTTGAAAAGCGAACAGCAGCTTTAACATCTGATGAAATATTAATGAAATGCAATAAGATTCCTCTGGCTGTCTCCTAATGCACCTTCTACTATCACACAATCTAATGTTTGCTGTTAAGCACCGTGGTCATTCATAATATAATCCAGTTAAGAAGACAAAAGAATTTGAATCTGACCTTGGACAAATTAAACTTTTTGTAAGTGCTAAATGTGTGCAAACAAGTAGTGCACATTTGCTCCTTTCTTTCCAGCTGTTTTGGCACTGCTATTTGCACACAATACATGCAAACACAAATAAATTCATTAAAGCTGCAGTAGGCAACTTTTTTTTAAAATAATTTTTTTGCATATGAAAAACACTGAGCTCCCCTGCCTCCTGGACGCATTGACTTTTAATTACTTTCTTAAAATAAGGTACATACTGCAGCTTTAAGTCCAGAAGATTGGAGCTGTTTCTGCCATTTTAGCATTTACAATTAACTCTTCAGCCACAAATAGAGGGCATGAAGTCAAGTGATCATGTCTCCTAAAATAGATCTAAAGTGTTTGACCCAATGAAGTGCTGCTCAAAACATGAAGAGGAATGATGTCAGAACGGCATTAATAAATCAGAATGGGTTTAATAAAATCACAGGTTTTATGATTTTATTAAATCATTAACAGAAATAAAAAGTAATTTTGCAAATATATAGAGGTGGCTTGTATTTACAGCAGCTTAAAAAGAAAAGTTTTAAGTTCATTTAATTGTCCTCGTAGGTTCTGGCTGCGCTCTCGCTCGCCACCTCCTCCTCCTCGTTTCTGGGGAGGAGGAGGAGCAGATGGACCTTCTTCAAATAGTTTACATCATTTTATCTCTGTTTACTAAACTCTGCATGTGAAGAATCTGTTAAAAACACTCAGAAATCGTAAGGTTCATGCTTTTAAAATCAATTGCAAAAATATCCAGTAGATTTCACTTACGTGAATTTATATTCTGACCTCCTGCTTACCAACATCCAGCTAACTTTATTTTTTTTCTCTGCATAAAACATGCAGTTCCACAGACTTCAAGGATGTGATGGCATTTTTCTTCCTGTTGCTACATTAGTTTAAATACAGTAAAATTCATGCATCCGATCTCACATGAATGTGATGAAGTGCTTCGAAAGACTTGTTAAGGACCACATCATCTCCACGCTCTCCCCATCACACGACCCTTTCCAGTTTGCATACCAGTCCAAGCGCAGTGCTGAGGATGCAGTCTCCACTGCTCTCCACCTGAGCCTGGAGCATCTGGAGGAGAAACCCTTGGATGCTGTTCCTGGACTTCAGCTCAGCGTTCAACACCATCATCCCCCAAGACCTGGTGGGCAAACTGGGCCCCTTAGGAATTAACACCCCCCTCTGCAACTGGCTACTGGACTTCCTCACTGACAGAACCCAGGCTGTCAGAATGGAGAACAACACCTCCGATGTCATCACCCTGAACACCGGCACCCCTCAGGGCTGTGTCCTGAGCCCCCTGCTGTTCACCCTGATGACCCACGACTGCCGTCCACACTTCAGATCCAACCACATCCTGAAGTACGCGGACGACACCACAGTGGTGGGCCTCATCCGGGACAACAACGAGACGGCCTATAGGGAGGAGGTGCGGCATCTGGTGGACTGGTGCAGAGGAAACAACCTGATCCTGAATGTCAACAAGACCAAGGAGATCATCGTAGGCTTCAGGAAATCCAGACCCACCCACACACCACTCCTCATCAACGACTCAGCAGTGGAGGTCGTCAGCAGCACCAAGTTCCTGGGGGTGCACATCAACGAAAACCTCAGCTGGTCTCCCCACATCTCCTCACTGGTGAAGAAGGGCCAGCAGCGCATGCACATCCTGCGTCGGATGAAGAGAGCATCCCTCCCACCCCCCATCCTTCAGACCTTCTACAGAGGGACCATCGAGAGCCAACTGACCAGCTACATCTCCATCTGGTCTGGGAGCTGCAGGGCCTCTGACTGGAAGTCTCTACAGAGGGTGGTGAGGACAGGGGAGAAGATCACGGGGGCTCTGCTCCCCTGCATCAAGGACATCGCAGAGAGGCGCTGCCTATCTCGCGCTCACCAGATCCTCTCCGACCCCACCCACCCCAACCATGGACTGTTTTCCCCCCTGGCGTCTGGAAGAAGGTTCCGCAGCATCTTGTGCAGAACAACCAGACTACTGAACAGTTTCTTCCCCCGGGCCATCAGACTGCTTAACGCCACATAACACCCCCCACACACACACTCACAAACCAAATGACCCCCCCATGGACATGGTCAACATGCACTTTAGTTTAGTTTTTTTCACAACACTGAACCTGTGTATTCTATGGCACTTGTATTGTATTTATTTATTTATTGGGTAGTATAAGGTTTTAGCTCTGCTACACTGGTAGCCAAGTAACGACATTTCGTTGTCAAGATTCACCTTGTGTTTTTTTTGTACAATGACAATAAAGGAAGTCTAAGTCTAAGTCCAAGTCTATATATATTAAACGGAAGTTCCTTCCTTACATATTTAAGCCAGAACGCAAAGCTCTCAAAGATCAGAGTTACTTGCACCATGCAGATTGCATAAAGAAAATACCGCCTACTGAAAGATGGAGGTAATTTTAATGCAGTAGGAGGAAAAAAAAAAACTTAAAAAGTGGCAGGCTGTGCTCTTATAGCTTTATAAAAACTGGACAAGGAAGTCTGAAAAGATGGATTTGATTATCCAGTGATTTCTCTAATATACATTTTCCTCAATCAAACAAATTATCTGAACAATATTGTTTTTAAAAAATTATATTAATGGATGAAATAATAAGCAAGCTCACAGCCAGAGCACTACGACAGAATCCAAAAAACCCTTTGTGTTTATTTTGTAAACAAAGAAATCAAATTTGCCACAATATAACTACTCTCTGATAAAGTCAAATGTTATTACAGTTTTGAAGAATGCAGGTGAAAACTTGATGCCCTTTGTGAGAAAATGTTCCTTCCACTCTGTTTAATCACTTCTGTAATTGTGGGTCAAGAGGAGACAACTGTGTGAATAAAAAAAGGGACTGCTTGGATCTTGATGTGCATTTCTGTTTAGAATAATCTGCTTTGTGATATAACTTGAATAGCACAAGCAAATACACAGTGACTTGAACGGCTTTGTGGATTCCCTTCTTTGTTTTTTGAACTGCAGGTTTTTCTAACAAAGCAGAATACACTGCGCTTGGACTCCCCAGGCCTTGTTCTGGGCAAGCACACAGGCTCTCTAACACCAGTAGAAGTGATCATCCTCGCTGGGTGAAACATTATTCAGTCAGAACGTTACAGCCTGGGACATGGGAATCTGTTGTCCAGAATATCCTCAGGCTTCTTTCCCTTCATTCCCTGCTGCTGAGCGTGTATTTCGTACTGTATCTTCTCAACTTATCTTTTAAACTCACAGGCGAAGCTGGTCCCACATCTTTTTGCTTTCACGTCTTCCTCTCACATAGCCTCCGACCATACAAGATGAAGGATTTCTTCTCCCTGCATCCCGCCCCATTCCTCCAGATGACCCTCTGTCCCATGACAAATTCCTCTCAGGCATGCCTTTTTTATTTTTGTGTCGGCAGCTCAGGATCTTAGGCTGCCTTCGAAAGACACGCGTCGACTTCCCTGGAACAGCTTTCAGTGGGTACGGGTTCTGACTATAACACAGGCAGGCACATCTTGCTTTACATTCTTAATGGCTTTGCCCTCCATTAGCCCACAGAATTAAGACAGATCACCACTTTGAGTAGACTCACTCATTCACTACATCATTTCCTCCTCCTCCGCCTCACCCGCGCCTTCCTTCTCACATTTTTGTTTTTAATTTTCTTTTACTCGCCTGCTTCACATCTCCTCCTCTCCATCTCATCCCCTCCCTTCATGTCACCTTATCTGGCTGTCAGCAGACACAACATAGCCGTAAGAACGCAGGACCTCACTGCGAGGTTTTACGGCAACAGTGCAGACCGATTCATTGAGGGAGGAAGGAGGGATAAGAGGCGGCGTTTGTTCAGGTCGGTTCAGACAGCTTATGGAAAGGAGCTGACACAAGACAAGCCACCAACGAGCTGCGACTGGTTTTGTAAAATATAATACTTAAGCGGAAAAGGCCAACCGCGGCGTGAAAAAAAAACAAACAGTGTGAAGTAAAGGAAATTCAGTCACTGTGAACTACATGAAAGCAGAGAAGTCCAATTTAATTTGTCCGTCTGTGTGTGTCAGTATCAGTGGGAATTATTCAAGTTGTTGATGTGCATTTATCACCGAATACACTTGATAATTTATTGTGCGTCTCAGATGCAGGCCACATGAAAGTCTCTATGTGTTTGCATTTTAACCATGGCAGCCGTGTTTTTGGGCATCTCTCAAAAAGATGTGTAAACAAAATTAAATAAATCATTTAAGTTAACACTTGAAACTTAATAATAAGATAAATGAAACTGAATTTATTGTGGTGGTTGCATTTTAATTTAGCGAGGGGAAAAAACTTAGTTAAAAAAAAAGTAATGCAAAAATAACCACCCAAAACAAATCTGGAAAAACACAGAATAAATAAAGGCAACTTTAGCATTTTTTTTTTACTTGCAGAAATAGAAATATCCTTTTATTGTCCCACAAAGGGGAAATATTTGTGCTACAACAGCAGCAAAAGATTCCTACAAAGATGTGAATATTCAGTATATAAAAACAGAATAAAGAACAACTTACTGTACAATAGGGATAAAATTTTAATGTGAGTACTAGAAATTTCCTAAGGAATACAAAACTGGGTAGGTTAAAAAAGTGCAGGCATTTAAGCATTAAAAGATAACAGAGCATAAACAATGAGTGACAGTAAAACTGTGCAGCAGCAGAGATGTGCAGAAAGCAGCAGAAATGTTATTCATAATGAGCAAAGCTACCAGCTACTGTACATACCCTGGAGATGAGCTCTCCAACCATTCCAGTCCACGTCCCATTGGCTCCAGGAACGCCGTAGACGCCGTCCCCGACCAGCCGGATGCGATACTTAAACTTGAGGATGTCTGCCAGCTCCTTCAGCATGTCCACGCAGAAGCCTTCGTAGCGGTCGTTCCCCTCCAGTTCTTGGTGGTTTGGCCGTAGCATTACGTATGGATTCTCCTGCAAAAGCACAGTTTGCATAGCATTACTAGTGATGTTGGAGATGAAGGAAAACATCTTGCACTTCAACAGTTTTTCATATTTAGAAAAAAAAAATACAATAAAAATGATGCCATCGCAGTATGTCTTTAATATTTTATCTGATTGCGTTTCAGATCCAGAACTATTCAGAAGATTTTACGTCTCTCTGGAGGTCATGGGTCACAGGGGGTTTACTGCCTGCAATGAAGATTTTTGGATTTGAAGCAGAGCCAGGTGCCGAAACAGTAACATAGGAGCCTTAATCTGCTGTAACCAGCAAAAAGCTGGATAAGAAACAAAAGCGTTTCTTCCATCTGATCACACAGATGGATCACACACACACCTATTTACAACCTGCCTTTCGGAGATCCAAGTCTGTGTTCGACTGCCAGTTTATTTATGTCTTGTTTTGTGCTTTAGTTGATGTTGGAAAAAGATTTAAAGAGCAATCCCACGGCATATTTCAGAGGCCACTTTAGTGCGTTATTTATCAAATAATGCAGTTGTCAAGCTGCTCTGGTTTGGATTTACGATGCCACAAAAAAAGACTAGATTTTTGCTGTTGAGGAATCATTTCAAGTGACTCATCAATTCAGCTCATCTGTCGTCAACGAGTCTTACAAAAAAAAATCTAAATCTACAAATTAACAAGCAAACTTCAGATGTATTCACACAATGACTTTGTTTTTCAGTGAGGAAATTCAATAACATTTAGAAAGTTTAGTTTTTTAAAACCCTGATTGCAGCCATAAAGCCATGTGTGAGAGCCGTATAAAGCAGACTGCGACTGCATTCAGGAGGGAACAACATAACCACTAATGAAGTGGTGCTGCAGTTTGAGGGCCAGAATAAAAGTGAAATTGTTTTGCCATTGCAAAAGCTGTAAATGCTTATATGTCGGGGACATGATCGATTTGCCTCAAGGTTCAATCTATAAAAATAGTTTTATTTATTTTGCGAAAACTTGATGCCCCTCAGGTGGCACGACTTTTACTTGCGAGCGGTCTTGTTGTCGTCAGGGTTAACTGCTTGGTTCCACTTTTAAAGGCAACAGAGAGCATCACTTTGACATCGTGGATTGAACGGCTCTGCCTCGTTTTCCCTGCATCAGTGGACGAAAGAAACTGCAGCGATGTAATAACCACAAGGATAAAGCAAATGGGCTCCGTCTGCATGTGAGTGTCACTGCAGGCTCAAGGCGCTTACATGGGAGACACTCTGCACAGAACCATCTACATTTTTTAGCATCGTAGTAAATATGTGTAACAAAAATTGCAGAGAAAATGGTGATTTAAAAGAAAAAAACCCAGCGATTAATTTAACTACCATATTTTCCAGATTACACAGCGCACCTTACGCTAAGTTTTTTTTTTAATAGAGTAAACATAAATATATAAGCTGCACCGGGGCATCAGTCGCTGCTCTTCGTTTTGAATAAGCAATAAATTTTGAATGCATTGAAAATTCATAATTTTTAACAAGGTATGACTGAAATCCAGTCAATAACAAGCAGTATTTGATTGGATTTAATAATCTTAATGAACGGCCGACTTTGTCACAAAACGCTGAACTGTTTATGAAGGCAACATTTTCTGAAGTTTGGATTTTGCTGAAACCTTCTTGACATAACTGTTGGTATTGCTGTTTCCTAAATTTATGTTTGCCACAACCAGCAAGCGTTGAGAAACAACTTACACAAACTCGGGAAAAAAAAAAATACAACTGGAAAGATGCAGTAAAAGCATTTTGCTTTCACTTTTATGTGTTGCACCTACACATGGTCTTTTACAGAGTTGATAGGAGAGCATTTCTTGGCAGAGCTTTAATAAAAATTATAGTCCAAAGTCTGTGTACACTAAATAATACACACATTTTTATGATATATATATATATATATATATGGAAAGTAAATGTTTTATTTCTTTCAGTGGTAAGAAAATGGTAGAAGAAAGCTAAATAAAATGGATAACAGCAGTATTTTCCTTAAGTCAGTGTTGAAATTGCATTATATATATATATATATATATATATATATATTATAATTTCTGCTGGTGAAGTTGGGGACTGCAGAAAAAATATTTCAAGAAATGTGTCCACATTTTGGAAATAAAAAAGTAAGTCTTATTTTTATGCTACATAATGTCTTTTAGGGTACAATTTTGCATTGCATGAGTTTATCCTTTATACTGGATTTCTGACACTGCACAGACTTTCAGTAACATTAATCTGAACATTAAAAACAGACATCTTGACTTTGCAGCTCCTTAACAATGGAACAGTGTCTGTGTTTGTGTTTAGTTGAAAATGGGAGAAAATATTACCATTCGTATCTTGTTTCCTTCTATTCCTGGTTAGCCATGCCGAACAAAAATAAACTCTGGAAACATTATTCAGTAAAGCAAAAACTGGACAGCAACAGAGGAGTCTTGAAACCTTTGTGTTTTCATTTCCATTATTGCCGATAGTTTTTGTTTGTGATTTTTTATTATTTTTTTTACAACTTTGTTTCAAGTTGAATCCTCTGTCTTTAAGAGCGTTGGTAAAAATTGCCATTAAAAGTTGTATGGACCGAACTAAACCAGAGGTTTTAAAATTGATCTTAAAACTTTCTTTAAATACTGAAATAAAGTTGTCGTAAAACTATTTCTTAGTCAAAGGGTCACTTAAGTTTAGAATGTAAGAAAATAATTTCTTCTTATGTGAAACATTTACACAGGGGACTGAAAATTGTTCTTTCTATGAAGAGGAAGTCGTAAGGAAATTCCTTCTACGTTCTTTAACACACCACAACCAAATGAAAAGAAGAAAAAAAAACATTGGTTTGAATCTATAAAGCAATGCAAACTTTTAAAACAGTTCCTCAGACTATGCTAGCTACTTATTCCCAGGCCGAAAGGCGTCTGGTTGCATACAGGTAACTTTAGCAGACGAGGAACACTTTCAGATATACACAGGCAAGTAAGTACACACGTTACGACTGTAAAGTGAACCGGAGGATGTTCTTCACATTATACTTCACACCCACAACAATACAGTTCCTCATCTTAAAACCTCCAGGTGTTGAGGACGTCTCCATGCAGCCCTTTCTTGATTTTTTCCCCAGAAGTCTTCTTTTCCCTTAAACAAGCTCTCCAGAGTGCAACAAGACGCCAGCTGGGATATTAATTTGCAGCTGTGTTTGAACAGAAGGCAAATTTGATCTAATAATAGTCCCATAAAATGACAGGCCAATAGGAAATTGGCTGGGGCAATGGAATGGTAAACTTCAAATAAGACTTTTGCAGAAAAGATCGAGATAAATGAACGCTTAAAAAAAATCAAAGAGAACAGAATCAGAGCTTGAGTCTGCATGTGCAAATGCATAAGCATATGCCTCAGTGCCTCTGAGCCTGTGTGCCAGAAAATCAGCCTCCTTGTCTGCTTTTATCAGTCAGCGCAGCAGACACTGCTCAATTTTTACCGTTGCATTTGTGACTGGATGAGAAAGGGTTCGGCGACCCAAAGGGAGTCTGTGGGAAGCTCAGGGAGAATATCAGAGGGCGATGTGGTTGATAAAACAAAACAAAAAAACAACAGAAAATGATGCGTGCAGGAGCGACAAGCAGCACGTTTCAAGTATTAAGAACAAAGTGATTCAATTGAGTTTTAGACTTTGAGGCGATGGGGATTTTAAATAATGGCTGGTATCAAAAACACGTCTGCCAAGGTGAAACCCTGGTTGGATTCAGATTTAAAGTGAGTAACAACAAAAAGTTCATTTCAAAAATACTTCTGCTTCTTCAACTTTTCCACCTTGAGTGCAGCCACAAACTTTCAAATATTTTTCTGAGATATTAGATAATGTAAAAGTAAAGTATAATTGTGAAGTTGTGGAAAAATGATCAGTTTATTTCAAAATTTCTAGATTCTCTTTGTGGATATCTAGTTATCACTGTAACCTCTTATATCGAAAGAGAATCCCAGTTAATTAGCAGAGTTCACTTTTAGTCAGTTTAGACTAAGAGTGCAGCTCTTAAGTTGTATTCTTAGACTAAACTGTTTAAGTTTAGTTATGCTCGACTCTGGCCTTTGTTCAAGAAGTTGGTCAGAATTGACACAAATACAATTGGAGCTAGGTCCTAATAAAAGCTGCAAAGACTTAGGATAAACATAAACATACAGTTATTAAAATGTTATGGTTTGTATTAAGGGTGTCCAATCTTCAGGGGTCGGTGTCTTGCAACCTTTAGATTCATGCCCAGTTGAGCAACTCGGACTCAAACAACTGAATTATTTCCTGAGTATGGATTCGAGTTTGTCCGATCGCTTACCGCAAGTGTTTAATTTGGTTGTATTACCAAATGCAGTTCTGCGCATCTGAGATATTTGTTAATTGCTACTGCTGTTAGTCTGGAGGGGGAAATTGCGCGAAAGCGGCGCTCTGTGGGGGCAGGAGTTCAGACGACAGACCAAACATTTTGGACAGTTCAATGGTTGCCACGTGAGATTAAAGGATTGTTTTAAACATGCATTAAAAAAAAATAAAGGCAAGTCTCCTGGTATGTTTTCAATGAGGGAATAACGTAACACAATGTGAAACTAAAAGAAAATTTTATTTTACATAATACTGCCCTGTCAATTGACTCAGCTCGAGCTGTTTTCCAAAGAAGAACAAGGAAAACTATAAACCTCTACATGTAAAAAGTTGGTCCGGCCCGACCTTTTCTACCTGTAACCACTACGTTTTTCCTAGCAAATGTTAAAAAATGAAAACCATGCATTTCTTCATTTTTTTCCCTAATTATGTGGTGATTTCTCTTGGTCTGTCACACAAATCACAATAAATTTAATTTATGTTAGTAGTTGTAACATAATTTTTTTTGAAAAAGCTCAAACTGCATGTATCTGATTGAAAGGAACCTTACTTTACTATTAGTGATCTGAATAAATACAAGTATCTTATACCCAGGCATGGCTGGTATAAGTGGGCTAGTAGGGCT